AAAAAAGTACTTTCTCGTTTGATAAAATGCAGGAATTTGTATAATATGGTCTTTGACAGCGGCGGCTAGTCAGAGGAGGCAAGGGAGGCTTAGCCTCCCCATAAAATTTGAGGCTATTCATCGCAATAAATTAAAAGATATTGACAAATAATTATGATTATTTTTTTCTAAAAATGCTTGGGTATCATTACTTTACCATTGATTTTTAATATAAATACATAATATGCCCGAAAAAACACTATCACTCACTACGTAGTACGTACCATACTGTATCCTGTATCAACAAAACACAAACGCACCGCCCATGAACGAATAAACTATCAACCCGAAATAATAAATGCCATACGCTGCAAAGAAGCCAAGCCTTCGACCGCTTTAAAAAACAGAGGCTCCAAGATACCAATCCAACCAGCGACATACGTCCCGATTTGTAATTTCAGTTGAAGAAATTATAGCGTCAGAGGAGGCTTGCCTCCAGTTGGTCTCCGTTGGTGTACGAATGCGTTTGTTTTTTATTTAATTATTCGGACGGGATACCGTGACGGACCGGGACTAAAAAATATTCCGGTAAATCGTTTTAGTGTTTCTTGATAATATTTGTTATTTGTGTATAAAACAGGCAGTATTATATTATAGCAGTGCTTTTTGGTAATATTTTTAATGTGTTTCTGAAGTGTTTTCTTTCAATTTCAAGGTGTTTTCAGGTTTTCACTTTTCGGTAAGTTTTTTTTTTCATTTATTATGGATAAGTTGGACGAAATTAAAAAATCTGACGATATAGTCGATTGGTTGCTGACAAATAATTTCAAGTCTTTATCTTATGATAATAAATTTTACATTATTAAAACTCTGGGAAGGCCTCAACCAAAATCGTGGATTTAATATTAGTTAGTACGATAAATGCGATTGGTTAACCGGCTCCATTAAACGAGAAAAACTTTTTTGTTGGCCCTGTGTTTTATTTTCCGTACAAACCGAATACCAAACGTGGTCTAAAATAGGATACTCCGATTTAAAAAATTTACCTCGTGTTATGGGGCAAAGTATTTTTTTTGCATGATCTACACATGTTTGTATAGAGTTGATTTTTTGAAATTAGGGAGGGGAGGTTGGTGTTGGAGCCTCAGTGGTGTAAGGCACTCATCAACAAAGTGCTGAGATAGAGCCGAAACAAGTTCACCATACACGCTCACGCTGCCTTCAGACTGCCGCCGCGGGCTGAGGCTCACATCTGTGACTTGTCCTCCTGGGCAATGCTACAGTCTATAGGGTCTCGTACAACGCATCTACCCCTGGACTGCAGTATAGGCACTATAACAACCCTAGAGGAGACAACCCCGAAACAAAAACCAGCGTGTAGCCTGAAGAAGCTGCCCCATACCGTAACCCTATGGTCATGTCTGATTGGAACGGGGGCCTGAGCTTTGCCACTTGGGCTGGAAGGAAAGCAACCTCTTTAAAAATATCCTCCTTGACTGGAAGGCGGTTCTAGTCACCAGCGACCAAATTCGACGTAACAAGCGAATTTCGTTTTATATAGCCTTCTTCTGGAAATAGGTGTCACCCTAGTTGCCACCAGCGATCGTTCCTACTCGTGGGAAGAAAAACAGAATGAGCAATTATAATTCTGAAAACGAACAAAAATCTGATGACGAGTAATCCAAAAACTATGACCAACAACTTTTCCACAAAGGAATGTTCATAGGTTGCCCAAGATCAAGTTCCTTTAGCCGAACAAATAATCGAGGCAGATAAAATTGCTAAAGAATGTTAAGAACAGCTATTCACAGAAGTGCATTATAAAAAAAGGCAAAGATCCAATCCAGACACAGTAATGCGTAACCAAAAACAGGCAAAAATTCAATTGCTGACTTGCATCACCAGCAGAGCTCAATATAGAGCAAGCAGACAAACCTGAAATACACACTGAAGCCCACAAGACTCCCTCCACTATTTATTGATGGAGTTGAGAATATACAAGCTTTATTGAAATTACTATAAGACGTAGCAAAAGAAGAATATATGAAATCAAAGTACTTCGAGGCGACATATTTAAAATACAATCCATCATCTATACAGTTCTAAAGGCTAGAGATACAGAATTTTATAGTTACCAGCCAAAACCAGGCCGCAGTTTTAGAGTTGTGCTAAAAAATCTACACCCATCTACAGACAAAGAGATAAAAATAGTTATTGAGAAGCTTCACCATAAAGTAACAAATGTCTGGAATATTCAGAACTCAAGAATAAAACAGGCGTTATCAATGTAGAAAATTGAACGAGAGCCTCGTGAAAATAATAAAGACATATATAGCGTTGAATGTTTACTACTGTCGCATATCATTCGAAGCACCCAGACCAAGGCGAGTAATCCCTCAATGCACTAATAATTGCCAATATTACAACCCCACATAAAAGTTCTGCAATAGAAAGCCCAGATGCGTCAAATGTGCACGGAAAGACAGATCAAAAGATGTTAAATGTGTCCTCTGCCAGGGAAATCATTCAGCTAACTACAAAGGCTGCACAGTCTACAAGGAGCTGTTGAGAGTCTGATATCCCCCTCCAATTACCAAAGTCAGAAAAAACCCTGGATACACTAGAAAGGAACAAGAACCTACAAATAAATCAACAAATAATGGAAAATTGGACATATCTCAAGGGTTTGACCACGTGTGGCATGAGGGATTGTGATTCAAACTGAAAAATTGGCTACCTGATCACCTTCGCAGAATATTAAAATCCCTTCTCCAGCAGCGCTATTTCATAGTACAACAAGGGGAAGCATTATCTGATCTCAGCCCTATAAAAGTAGGAATTCTGTAGGGCAGCGTACTGGGTCCCATACCATACTTACTTTCACTGCGGATCCGCTGACATCTGAATATTTAATTAATGGAACCTTTGCTGACAATACCGCTATACTATCTACACATAGTGACCCAAAAATAGCCTCACAAATACTCCAGAAAGGGCTAAACGACATATCCTACTGGCTCAAAAAGTGGCGTGAAAGCAAATGAAGCAAAATCAGTCAATGTAACATTCACTTCAGTCATACTTAACAACATTGCAATCCCACGGGCAGATCATGTGAGATACCTTGGATTATACTTGGACAAACGACTTACCTGGCAAAAAAATATTTTTACTAAGGGAAAGCAACTTGGTATTCAATCGCGAAAACTGTTTCTCGAAAACAAAATACTTCTGTACAAGGCAATACTTAAGCACGTCTGGACGTATGGAATCCAACTGTGGGGTACTGCATCCCATTCAAAAATTGAAATCATACAAGGGTTTCAAAATAAAGCACCCTGCATGATAACCATTGTTCCCTGATTTGTTCCCAACGAATTATTACACTGTGATCTACACATGCCCACTGTGAAACAGAAAATTATACACCATACCCGAACCAATAAAGAGCGCATCCAACGACACCCAACGGCCACGAAAATAAATGTTTCATCAATAAAAAGATGGATTTGTATTTTTCAAGCAATTTTCTGATCGTCAACGTTCATATAATATCGTGAAATCAAATTGTTCCGAGTTCCTGAGAGTTTTATGAATGCGATTATAATCAAATAAATCATTATATCTCAGCAACGACTGATTCATTTAGTTGTTGCTCCGACTTTGAGTCATAACCTTCAATATGCCCCCTTTCGGCGGCAAGTAATGCATTGCCGCCGAAAGGGGTTCCAATTTTTTTTTCAACAGAAAGCGGGTTTTGTTACATCTCTTTCGATTGATTTTTCAATTATTTTTCCAGCACTGATTTATTTTTATAAATCGAATCAGTTGCTCTTGAGTAATTAATAATTTTATATTCATTTTGAAAATCTGCAAACAAACTGCAAACAAAATAGTGATTTCAGGAGAAAATTTAATCGAAAGTCACTCTAGTTTAATTCCGGACAATAATGTTTGTTTACGAATCCAATTTGCTTATATACTATGGAATGTTTCAGGAGTAATTTCGTTAGTAGTAGCTCTAATTATAACCATGAGCTCTGGAAAAGACTGGTTGTATAACAAATCCCCTCAAAAAAATCTGAGGGACCTCATTTGTCCCACTATTGGTTTGGATCATTATCATCTAGCCACTTCCATCCTGTAGTGATGAGGAGATATCTCACCTTGCTCAAACGAAACAACAGTTAAAAACTAATAAAATTGTTACTTAGGAACGGATGATCTCATTTTTCAAAAATGAAACAGTGTTGTGAAGAGTGACGCAACAACTATTGTCTTTCTTATCAAAAATCACTAACAAAGATGATTTTTGGAGTATATTTTGTCAGATCTTCGTAGCTTGTCCTGTTTAAAAGATAAAAGAAGGGGACATTTATGTTCGCACTTTGTGAAATACAAATAATAAAGAACCAATTATGCTGACTTGTTGAATATGGATTGACAGAAAACCTTCAGACTAATAGTTCATTTTGCATTACCCTATGAGCACTTTCTGTTTATTGTACAAAAGATAAAATAATAATTCAGTCATGAGCAGGACCTCTGATGAAAATTTTTCAAAAAGATTGCATAGTCGATGCTATTAAATGCCTTGGATGGATCTAGAAACAGCCCCATTGATTTTAACTTCATCTCGTTAACCCGAGTTGACTTTTTGATAAACATTCAAATTGTATTTTAGCTGTATTGAGTTGGAAATATTTAAATAAAATTACCTTATATTACCTAATTACACAAATACAAAGCTTAGATCTTTTTTGGTTTGTTAGTGCATTAGATCTTACTTGAAATATTAACATTAATTGAAAATAAATTTCTAAAGCAATTGAAATTGCCTTTATTTGAATACAGGAATAGAATATGAATTGAAAAATTTTCTTAAAGTGTTTTTCAGCACCACAAAATATTACTACCCGAAATGTGTTTATGGTTAATGAACTTTAAGCTACATCGCATTCCTAATAATGTACTTCATTCAGATTCCCTACAAGTGCAAAAAAGAATTTGGACTTACTTACCTGGTGAGGATGAATCTTGTGGAATAGGCGGTGGAAAATCCATTGATGGCCAGATAGGAAAAGGATTTGAAGGAGAAGGTTCTCCTAAAGATGTATCTAACATGTGGGAAATATCCATGTGAGACTCTTCTCCTGGAAAAATAAAAATACAAATGAAAACAAAAACATCAGTCAAATCAATGAGAAGTACCTAATAATTATGACAGTAATAAATGAATATTATCGGAGTTTAATCCTAACACCAAACCGTTTTTTTAACACCTCAACACGTGTTTCAGTCACCAAGTGGTAATCTTCAAGAGTAAGATTAAACTAACAGTTTTATCATATTAGTTTGAAAATATCCATATAGTACGAAATTGCAGTAACGAAAGTAACTAATAAAAGTGGTAAAAAATATAGAAAGTTTCATTTCTCATTTTTCATGATGAATTGGCCGCGGTGGTAGTTTGTTGTGGAATTGGCCGCGGTGGTAGTGCGCCCGACTCACGATCGGAAGGTCCTGGGTTCGATTCTCGCCTCGACCAGATATTTTTCTCGAGAGAATTTATCTGGTTGAAGCTGGAATGATTCTGCAACCGTGTTAGGAATCACACGTTAAAAGGTAAGACCTCGTTAGTCCTTAGCTCGCACAAGTTTCTCAACNCGAAGAAATGCATCCAATAATTAAAAAGTTATAAGTGAATGAAATTTGAAAATTATGCTGTTTAATCAACCCACCACTTCAATTTCAGAAGTTTGGTGCGTATTCACCAAACAGGATTCCCGTTCACACTAAACGACCGCGAACAAGTATTTTCTTTGATGTATCGCCTTCTTTTCGATCTTTTCAGAAAGCGAGCAAGCATACGTTCGCTCGCTCGCTAGCCCGTACTCACCAGACGATTATTGATGCAGACTGCTTGTTCACTCTTGTTCGTTCGTGCTCGCTTTTTTGGTGAATACGCACATTAAGTTCTGACTACACCACTGGATTTAGGAGGTATCAAGATATTAATGTTAAAAATTTCAACAAAATATGCTCATCAATGAAAAATTTACAAGGGAGTAAAATTTGAAAAATTTGTCGTAAAAATTAGCATCCGTTGTTATTATCTCCAGTTGAAAACAAAATGGTGATTACAACGTGTGTAGAAAGAAAGCATTTCACATTTTGGAGTTGGAGCAATTGAAAATATTGAGATAATGATTCATCTTGAAAATCCAGCGCATGTAATCAATATTCTCTAAATTAGATTTTTATATTCCTTACTGAATGTGTAAAAACATTCAATGATATCCGAATAGGCGAAAATTGAAATGAACTTTTACTATTGAAAAACATTTCTTTTCCAAAAACTAATTTCTTCCAAGAATATATCCCCTTTCAATTTAAAATAGAATGTTTTTCAATGATTGACTAAATATTCTGAAATATTATTTGTATAGCGCTTGTCTGTGGCTTCCACGTGTGAAATATACATAGGTCGACAAGAGCGTCCCAAGCCATGAAACACTCGAACTACGCTCAGGAACCGGCAGTATATGTTACAATCTTTTTTGCGTCATGACATATCCTTCATTCGGAAAGAACTTGGGTTTTTTTGACAATTTCTTTTGATGAAATGTAAATTACAAGATTCAAAATTATAGAAGTATTTTTCGAGCATTATTATAACACCATCATAGAATAACCTTTTGACATCTGTATTTGGACTCAAAAAGGTGGGGGACGCAGAATAATATGTAAATATGCAATGTATGAGACTGGATTACCAATTAATCGGTTCAATTTGTGAGGTTGCAGTCAATGTAAATATGGAGAACTTACTAACGTGAAAATAAAATGGCTTTAAAACGTATAGAAAAAATATAAAATAATGAAAAGTAATCAAGATTTGGCTGACAATGTCAAGTGGAAAAATTCTGAATACTACTAGATATTTTATTCTCTTTGTCATATTTTATTACGTATGTGTTAATTTTGCTAAGATTTTCAATATCATTTATTTGATTCATTTAGTGTTCTTTGTGATCGATATGTATCATTTCTGAAAATATTCTTTCAGTTGTATTAATTTCTCCATCTAAAATATGTGGGTTTTCAAAATTCATTCTATGATCCTTTGAATTAACACGTTCTGTTAATGCACAAGAATTAACATTTCGTCTACAGTCGCTCTTATGTGAAGTAATTCAACTATTTAGAGGTCTAGATTTTTATCCTATATATGTTTTAGAACAATTCATTCAATTTTTTTTATTTAAGCCTCAACTGCCAGGGGTTATTCACTATACAATAATTTACTTAATATGTTTTAAAAGTACATTGACTACAATAAGTTAATATTACTGGAGTTTTATCCCAACACCAAACCGTTATTTTCAACACCTCGACACGTGTTTCAATCACTAAGTGATCATCTTCAAGAGAAAAATTGAACTAAACTAGTTAGTTTAATCTACATTAAACTAAACTAGTTAGTCACTCGGTGATTGAAACACGTGGGTTCGAAATAATTATATAATTTCTGCGAATAGTTTTTTAAGAATTGTGGGGTGAATTTGGGATTTTTATAGCTGTTCAATTCAAAGTAAGGCGGATGGTCCATGGAGGGGGACAGTCGATTTTAGATAAATGAGCGGTTTTGGATATAGTCAAATTAAGATTGGAGAAAATTCGATTCAGACGTTCGGGAATGGAATATAATTTTTTATTTTCGATGGCCGTGAGTTTCTTGAAATCCTTAGGCAGAAACATTTCTGTGGGCTGGATTGTTGGGATAGGCTGAGATTTTAATGGAAGGTAAAAAATACCCAAAAAAAAGTCGATGAAAACAAGAATATTATATTTTTGACAAGAGGCGTCCTTAAATTGAAAACCAAAATGTTGAACATCAAATATAGGTTGTTCACGTTAAGAAGAGAATAACGTCACAAGATGACAAGTTACGGCGTTGCCAACATGTGCACTATTTCGAACTTTCAAATTTTTTTTGTACTGTTGATACGTTTTATTGCTATTATCCTTAACTTACTTTTAGTATTTGTTGAGACTATTTCGATAATGCTTTAAGCATATTGAATATACGCAGGTCTTATCAAAAGAAATGATTAGTTCTGAAAAGAAGACTGACAGCTTTCGAGTTTTTATCGATTTGACGTCTGAAATTTTATTATCAGTTAAGCAACTTACAAAATGAAATGTTACTAGTTTCATTGCTGTTGAACGCATTTCAGTGGGAATTTCAACATTGTTATGTTGGATATATAAAATTACCAAATGACGTCATTCACTTCTTAACGTGAACAGCCTATAAAAATTGAAATTGATAATTCAAATTGTACAAAACCTGAACAAACCATAGAAATATTTAGTGAAAGTCCAATATGTTTAAAATATGTTTTTTCCGTTAACCAGCTATCGCATCCCTACAAACGACAACCCTCAGAAGTCGAACAATATGACTGCTAAATCCATATCGTCGAGGAATTCTCAAATTTCTCATTTTATACACTGCAGATACCCAAGATCTCCATTTTCCAAATAGATCAGGAGTGATTTTATCATCCCAAATAATTTTATGTGACCATACTTCCTGCATCAAAATTCTGACTTGTATAGTGAAAGCTGCTAACAGGCCAAGTGGATCATAAACTGACGGTACCACTTTCGTGGGAATATTGTCTGTTACAATTATTTTCTCATGTTTTTTCAAAAATGTATCAGGAAAACTGAGACTTTTGTATTCCAAATTAAACCTAAAGTTCTTTCAGACGTGGGTAACTTTTCAGTATCGGTACTACTTTTGGATAGTATTTCAGCAGGTATATTTGTTAGGACATGACTAGAATTGCTGACCCACTCTATCATTCTGAATTCACCTTGGTAATGGATGTTTATGACTCCATGAACAATTTCAATGGCTTCAAAACTGTAAGTAATCATCCATGTAATGATATTTTTCAATAGCTTTCACTGCTTCTGGATATTTCTTTCCATGTTGTTTCACATTTTCACAAAGAACGTAGATCACAGAGCTTGGAGAACAGATTGCTCCGAATATCATGGATTTCATTTGGTAAGGATAGGTCCGTCTTTATCTCTTCCCCTCCACAGAAAACGCTGCGAATCTTGATCTTCATTTCGTATGAATATCCTTAAAAACATTTCTTCGATGTCTCCCATTACAGCTATTCGATTTTGACGAAAATTGAATAAAATGTTTACTAAGGAATTCAAAAGGTCATAACCTTTTAATGCATTTTCGTTCAAATTGGTTCCATCTATTTTGGCTCTGGCATCTAATACAAATCTGATTTTTTGTGGTTTACTAGGATGTTTTACTGCAAAGTGTGGCAAATACCAAGTTTTGTGATATGTAACGGCGGCTTCTTCGCAAGTCAAAACTTTTGTGTATCCTTTTTCAACGAAATATTCTTTCTGGAATATTGCTCTCCAAAATGCTTATCTTTCTGCATTTTCTTCTCATCAGAAAGTAATCTATTCAACGCGGTAGCTCTGCTATCTGGTAAATTGATATTTTCTTTCTTCCAAAGCAAACCAATTTCCCAGTGGTTGCTTTCTAACTGACGACATGTTTCTTCCATGAGTTGAAACGCCTGTTTGTCTTCTTCTGAAATATGATTAAATTTGTTATTTTCAACTCCCAAAGTATCCATCAGAATAGTTTCATTCAATAGTTCTTTCAATTCGTCAACTTCAAAAACTTCATTTTTCATATAACATGTCATAGAATAATGAGCGTCGACTCGATGTTTGAAATATGGATAGTTTCCATTACATTTCTGAGATTGACCAATGGAATTCGTGACAGATGATTCCAAGTTGTCACTAAATTTTTGACATCTTCAGATTGAACAGGAAGTTTCAAATTTGTAATTGTTCTTACGTTTGACATCAAAAATTTCCTGATTGAGCGTTCCCTGAATTTTCAAGTTGACACGTTTTGATTGGTCGTCTGTATAGGAAGTACAATTGGTCCAATATATTTTCAATGGATCACTTACACCATCCACTCCTACCTCCTCGGCAAGGTCCATCAAAGTAATCATGCTTCCTTCATCAAAGAGCTCATATGTTTTCATCGACTTTTTGTCGAGTTTGCTGTCGAACTGAGTTTGCAAGTTGT